TCAACAAATACTAATGACCTATTTTACAGCCGCACAGCCAGATGAAGGTATTTCACTACCCCCATTTTATAGGTGGCAACAACAGTCCCGACATGTTCAGGTCAAAAACATCCGCTAATTTTAAGGACTCCTTAGGAAGCACCTAAGATTCCATCTGTCAGGGAACTTCGCTCTGCAGAGCACTTTGTCTAACGAAGCACAGCCTTCCCTGATTTCAGCAGCTACTGGGAGTGCTGAGCACTCCTGCAAATCAGGCACTGGCAAGCACCACAGATTATACGGACACAGGTAATGACTGTTTCTAAAAGATGCAGTGCAATGGCCTCCCTCAATGCCACATACTAAAAGCAGAGGAAAGCTGGATTCTCATTACATTCAACTCATCTCAGCAAGAGAAAACAAAACCCTCCAGCAATCCTCTCCCTCATTGTGCACCTCCCAGCCTCAGTAACACGTGGGAATGGGGATCGACAAGAGAAGGCTCTCTGATTTCGGAGTAAGTCAAACCTGTTTGAGTAAATGACTTCAGGATCTTCAAGAAATAAAGCAGGCACGCTGCGCGGAGAGTGGCTCAAGAGCAGCCCTAAGGAGAAGGACTTGGGAGTACTGGTGGATGAGAAGCTCAGCAAGAGCCAGCAATGTGCGCTTGCAGGCCAGAAAGCCAACTGCATCCTGGGCAGCATCAAGAGCAGCGTGGCCAGCAGGGCGAGGGAGGGGATTCTGCCCCTTTACTCTGCTCTCATGAGACCCCACCTGGAGTCCTGCATCCAGCTCTGGAGTCCCCAACATGGGAAGGACATGGATGTGTTGGAGCAGGTCCAGAGGAGGCCGTGGAGATGATCCTAGGGCTGGAGCACCTCTCCTACGAGGACAGGCTAAGGGAGTTGGGGCTGTTCAGCCCGGTGAAGAAGAGGCACTGGGGGCACCTTAGGGTTGGATGGAGCTCTGAGCAAGCTGGTCTGGTGGAAGATGTCCCTGCTCATGGCAGGGGGGTTGGAACCGGATGATCTTTAAGGTCCCTTGAAACCCAAACCATTCTATGATTCTATGATCATGAACAGCAACATCACAATTCATAAAAACACAAGGGCTAAAAACTGAAAAGTTTGAAAACTAACAACAAAAACCTTGGAGGAACTTCAATACATTGTTGTCAGCTACATACACACATCAGGCAAATTAAAACAAGGGATCCTGTACCCACGCTACTCCTCAACTCAGCCATGGTTACACACTTTAAATTGTGTTCTACCTGGCATTATTTAAAGAATGTATGGCTGTCAACTCTTTTCTTCTTAGATTTTACACTGTTCATTGCTGCAGTGGGATAGCAGTCACTCTTTAGCACAAGTAAACTGTGACTGACTTCTACTAACACACTACATGTAAGCAAGTAATCCAAAAGAAGTATTTTACTCAGCAAAATAAATGTCCTTCCCTGTTCGTAAGTTCAATCAGCAGACCATGCCTTTCTTCAGCATACTGTGTGCTTGGATGCAGGTACTCTATTCCTCAACAATTTATGACACTTCATACTCCAAAAGAGATCTGCACCGCTCCTTTGTGATTATTCACACAGGCTACATAATACTGCTTCTGTGCCTTACCTGAATAACTTCCTCACCTTTAGTTACACGTACACGTGTGTCTAAGCCTCACCGTATTCAATGGGATTTTAGAAAAATCCTTAAATTTGTTCTTATCTGTTTTGAGATTGCTGGATATGAGCATACACTCAAATTTTTACTTTGACATGATAAAAAGCATGTTTAAAAAGAAATTATATTCAAATATTCAAGTACAAAAGATTAAAACTTACTCCTACACACCAACTTTGACAACAGCAAAATGCAACTCCTCAAGGTTTCAACAAAGGCAGCCAGTTCCACAAAGCAGCTGTAGTGATGTCGTGGAAAAGCTAAATGGACAGTCTCGGGCACCTTTTTTCATGGTATTCAGTAAGCCTACAGATGCTACACAAGAGAAACGTTCAGCTGAAGTCTAAGGTTACAGGTCCAGCTGCTGAGCCGAAGAGACCCTACGAAATCAAAGCTGGCAAAAACGGGTGTCACACCCAAAGAGGAGCATCACAGCAACCGATTGCCGCTCATTTATTTCCTCTTTTCCAAACATGCCATGTTATTCTCAGCCTCATTCTCCCCTCCTCCCCGTCATTTTTGTCATCTAAAACACTACACCTTACCCCGTGACACTTGAGGGAAACGGTCATCCAAATTACTGGAGTTAGGAAAAAACCTACTCTGGGAGTTAGTGTTGAGAGCGCGCTGGGCAATGCCAGCTTCAGTCACAGAGCCACCGAACTGTTTTTCTTGAGGCTGCCCACTTTGCAGGAAGGCAAAGCACACGCGGCTGATTCTGCTCAGGCTGCCTTAGCCAGAAACCTGCGTACTCCGGCCAAAACAAAGAGATTCCGAAGCTCTCACTCCACCCAGCTTCTGCCCGCCTAGAGGTCCCATCCCATCATGTTTTTTTCTAGAGATTTTTCTAGGTCTTACACAAGTTGCTAGCAAAATCCTAGGTTTCCTCTTCATTGCAGATTTGACTAAATCATCTGTCTTCACGACACCTGTGACCCTGCCTGTTCTGAGCACACACAGCCTGAAATCCCAGAAAGAACAGGCCGCTCCCAGTTGGGAATCAGTGTCCTCCGCTGTTCTGAGCACACACAGCCTGAAATCCCAGCAAGAACAGGCCGCTCCCAGTTGGGAATCCGTGTCCTCTGCCTGGCATCTGGAATCATTCCAAGCGCGCTCTCTCCAACTCCGTCACGGACAGTCTTTCAAACTTTTCAAATCATCTTTGATAAGAAGGCATCTTCTGTACACCTAGAACCGGCATCTGGAATCATTCCAAGCGCGCTCTCTCCAACTCCGTCACGGACAGTCTTTCAAACTTTTCAAATCATCTTTGATAAGAAGGCATCTTCTGTACACCTAGAACCTGCTTTCTTTGAAAAAGCACCCCAAGCAGGTCTGAGGTGCTGTGCCTGCCCGCAAGCTCCGGCAGGATTCGGGTCACGACTCCGAGCGCTTCCAATGCAACGGGCATGTTGCTGGGATCACACCACTCCATCCCAGACAAGCCCTACACAGCTTACAGCCCCGAGACCGCTCGCACAGTACGCAGCCCTCGCAGCCAAGGGAAATCTGTTCCCACTGGCCCTGGGCTGATTTCACAGTGCTGGGCCTTAAATAAAGGTGCTTGATCTACCCTGCAAGCAGCACGGCCGCATTCTCACAAAGCGTTTATTTTCTTTGTTTGAGGAATGAAAAGAAATAAAAAGGGGTGTGGAGAGCAAAAGAGTCCCTAGGGAGGCTGGCTGTAAATCTTCATGCCAACAAAGAGAGCTTCCCCGCTCTCGCGCTGCTCAGTTGCGGTAACAGATGAGGCAGAGAGGAGCATTAAGCCAGGTCCTAAAACAAAGGTGAATTTGGTTTGTTCCCTGCGCTACAACATTTACAGTAATTACAGAGTTGCACATTTACAGTAATTTACGGTGCAAGTTTCACCCAGCTGCCTGCACCCCAGTTCAAGGGTCAGCTTTGTGTCACAGCAGGGCTGAAAACTTTTCTCCTTGGCAAACTGGATTTTCATGGTGGAGAGAATTGGACCAAACAGTTATCAAGTACCACACTGAGTAATATAAATATTTTCGGTTGGTCTCAATAATTGAGCAACTCTTCAGTTCTACAGTGAAATTTTTGGAAATTTTGTTCCCTCGCACAGTTTTCTAATTTGCACTTTTTGTTCCGATTTGGAATGGAAATTATTTTTTAAATTTCAAACTTTGTCATAAAAATAAAAAATTGGCATGGCTTATCTGTACTTGCACAAAATCTGCATACACTGACCAAAACACGGATGCCATCTTAGGACCACATTATGTTGCCTTCTTAAACATTACTTTTCTCAAGTAAAGAATATGTCCCCTTTTAACCTTGTGTATTCCCTGTCCTTTATTTTTGCCCAATGTCCTGCCAGCTTTACCAGGAGACTTCTGCAATAAAATCCTATTTCCCTCCAGTGGAGTCTTTGGCAGGGAGCTGACTGCGGGCTCCTCCGCTCTCCAGGTACGTAGGGTGTTTGCTGAATAATTCAAACGGCACTTTCATTGGCAGGCCATGGTCTGAAGCCAAGGAGTTAGCGGGCCAATAAATCTTACATTTACAGGGTATCCCCCCCCTTATTGGTAGGGGCAGAATGAATGGATGTGGGCTTAGATGGCTCCCATCCCTGTTACTCCTGCAGTAGGGCTAAACAGATGACTTCAGCCTCCAGGCTCTCACACTGGCACCATTCATTAGCACAGCACTCAGCATTCATAAAAAATGCATTATGGTTTGCAAATCAGATCAGAAGCACCTCTGTATTCCTTGTCTTGCAGAAAGAGGGTACAGCACCAGGGAAGTCCAATGTATTCTAAAGGTCTCACGATGCTCACTAAAACACCATGGCCACAGCAAGGAACTGAGCCAGGACACCACAGCAGAGGTTAGCTCTGTTGGCACATTAGCCTCGAGACTAGACCAGAAAACCTGCTCTCCAAGAGTGAAGACACAGAAACCACCTCGAGACAACGCAGGCAAAAACAACAAGGAAACCACGCTATGTAGGGAGAGATGGAAACATCCACGCCATTTATTTCTTTATGATCACTGAAGCCTTAGGGGCAGGCAGGGAAACCGGGGCATCCCTCTGCACATGCAAGCAAGCAGGACCAACCCAGCTCTTTGGACAGATGATGCAGAAATAAGCAAGGAAAAGGACACAATTAGGACTACCCAAGGCTTATGCTAGATGGTAAATGCTCCAACCTGCAGATTTTTTTTTACGCAAACCAAAACCCTCCACATAATAATGGTTTATAATTACTGAGCTTTTCAAAATAAAAATCTATTTTGAAACAACTCTTTTCCATCTTGTGGGTCAAGAAATCGAACTATTTAACAGACTATCTTTTCTGTCTTCCAAGCTCCTACTGTCTCATATTCCTCCTGATTTTCTTTCTCCTTCTCTGGGAACCACTTAACTCCACCGCTGCTCTTGGCACACGGCATACAGCCTCACACAAAAGACTGGTGAAGGCAGATTTCAAAATGAAAGGACAGTGATTAGAAAATAAAGAGAGAGAAAAAAAGAAAGAGTGCTCAGATACCACCAGAGGACTACATCACTTCAGGCGAGCATGGCAATATTCCTCATTAGGAAAAGGATCAGAATCTTTGTGCAATTAGAGAAAAAAAAAAAGAAACAACAGTTCAACTTCCCATTGCAAAAGAAACCTCCTCCTTCTAGCATTCAGGCTGAGAAAAATAGAAAAGAACAAAAGTTTAAGAAATAGAGCAATGAGTAACCTTTCCATTTGCTGGCTTATTCTTCCCCTAGGAAACAGATACAGTGCAGATAAATTTAATGATCAAAAAACCAGAGGGATTACACTCTTGTACAGTGCTGATCATTGGCAAATCCCCCTCTCTGCAGTTCAGAAGCACAGCTTAGCGTAACAGACCAGATTTATCATTGCCTTGTCCTTCACACCACTTACGAAGCAGATGTAAGTTGCTCCTATCTCAAGAGTCCTCGTTCACATACACAGATGAAATAAATACCAGAACTGTTCTGTTGTGACTTTACAAAGCTATAAGCCACCATACCAAATGCAGAGAATCAAACCCACTGGGTACCTGCCACACGTTTCACACCTGTATTTCTCCACTTCTGCTAACACATCGCCTCCTTGCAACAAGGCATTTGTTCCAGCTTTACGCCAGTGGATGCTCCAAAGTCGACACCCAAAAAACCATTAGGTACATCCAGCAGTTCCTCAGAGCAGAACCACAGTTCTTCCCTTCCATCCTGTATTTAGATTATGGAGTCTCCAGTTAAACGGGCACAGAAGAGAGCATGAGTAAATAAAAAGACAAAGACAGAGATTAATACTTTCTTCAGTTCTACTACAGGGCAGAGACGCTGTAAAGCTACCTCACACACCAGGAAAAAAGAAAAAAAAAAAAATGGCCTTTACAGTTGTGCCATGGCTGAAAATATGATGTCTTCTGCAAATGTTCAACTTTTTTAAGCTACTTCATGGACAGCTCTTCTAAAACTGAAGCGTCATCTAGTATTCAGGGCTATTCAGTGGCCGGAAAAGCAATTTCTGTAATATTTCTTGTTTATAGCCACCTAGAAGCTACAAATTTAACTTGGTAGGGATGCACAGTCAGGGGATCTGGTTCCAAAACAGAACATCTCAAGTCAAGAGCTTTGCTAATGCCTCCAGCAAACTTGCAAGGAGTTACGAAAACTGTGAATCATACCGCTTGAGCAACACTAAGATTCAAACCACACTTTATCGTCTACCCGGCTGTCTCGACTGAACTTGTAACCATTTCTTCTGTAGAAAGAATCCAGACTGCTGTCTCCCTGTAAAAACTTGCCTCGAGCAGAAAGCAGATAAAGCTCTGCAATGCATCTCTCGAGAGCGACGGAATATGTTGAAGAGAATTAGAACCGTAAGCAGGAATCAGTCTGCGCTTGGAAGGAAACCTTTCCTATTGAAGATTTGTTTTCTAAGCTGCTTGTTGATGCTGGTATCCAAATCTCTCCTGTCTGATCTTATCACAGCTTGTACCCTGCCAGGCACAGGATTAGAGCCGGCTGGACTGAGATGGCAAGTCATTAACGTGGGTGCTTAGAGACCTATGTTGAAATTCCTGATCTTCCTGTGGCTCCCCCTGTGACCTGCAGCAGTACGCTCAGCTCCAGTCCACAAAGCGGGTATTCAGAGGCCTCAAACTATTTAATTCCCATTGACTGGTTTTCCAAAGGAAATAAATGGCTCTGAATTTGGGCCTTTAGCCCTTCCGTGCAGCAGTGCTCATCTGTAAAATGAAAGCCAACCCACATCCTGTTTCATCTGTGCGTCCTAATGCTAAATACTTAGAGGTAAATGGATCAGGCACCACAGGAACAGAGGGCTGCACACACGCTTAGAAAAAGCAAACAAGACATTGCAAGAGGTGATGTGGGTTCATGGAGCAGTTGGCACATCTCCCTCCGGGCAGACCTAGATCAAGACAGCCATCTTCTGGGTAAGAAACATAACAGTGTCCAACTGCTACATGCCATAAAATATCTCCAGGTTTGCGCTATTCATTAATTTATTTTGGAAACAGTAGCAAAGTCAGTCTCTCCTCTTCCAAACCTCTGCAGCCCTTCAGCTTCCTCAGGCCAACCAGCCATAGCCAGCGTGCTGCTGGGGTACACCCCACGGGCCCGCTGCTCCCTCCTCCCGTCCTCTTGCCCCTCCACGTCTCCATACCCAGGGGCTTCTTCCAAGCCTCCTGCCAAGCAGCTTCTTTGTGTATCAACCTGTTCTCTTCCAACTGGCATGTAGGATAGGTAAGCCATGCCCCTCGCCTCCACTCCATCATCCATACTGGAATAGGAAAGCACCCACATCGCATTTTCTCTGCCCTTCATTCAGCACAGTGTCCCTGGTACTGCTCAGCTGCATGTGTAGGTAGGTATTTGGTTCTTGCTCTCTCACGTTTTCCCCTCCCACGCCTACAGGCTCCTTGCATGCCCTGTTCCCCTTCCTAACACAGAGCAGTCACAGCATTTCCCCTTCCCTGTTCTTCATCCTAATTCCAGACAGCTCTCGCTCTCTGACCTGCTCTAGGGGGACCAGCCTCCCCCCGTCTCCCCCACCCCCAGCTCCTCACATCCTCCTCCCCCGTCCCGAGCAGGTGCCTCTGCTTCCCGAGGAGCACTCCCCTGCCAACCACACAAGTTGCAGCCTTTGAAATCAATAAAGACCCTTTGTTCTCCGGCAAGTTGAGAACTTCTGATGCCTGCATGGGAACGAGGAGTGGGGGAAAGGGAAGAAGAGACTGCAGGCTGTTTCCTAAGCTCCCCGTAGCCCTTGAATATCCCCTACCAGCTGTTCTGGAAGAGCAGCGCTGCTTTACAACACACCAAACAGCAAAATCGCACAAGAGATGGTATCTTGTCAGCCTGCACCAGTCCCTCTTCCCTCACACTTCCCAAGAGCCAGACCCACTGTGTTCGGAGGGACCATTCGCATCCCCAACATCATGGAGATGCACAGATGCTCCCAAGGCCACCAGCACACGCTCGGTCACAAGGAGTTCAGGTGCTTCATTCCAACACAGCTCAGCTGCCTTCAGTTAAGCCCCTGTGCAAGCAATGCCCCCACATACCCATACAAATATGGGCCAAAGTCCCAAATGCCCTCCGGCGTTTGGAGTACGTGAGATGGCCTCTGGGAGGAATGGCAGGAACAGGGCTTTGAAGAAGGAATTTAGGATGGCCATACCGTTTTTTCAATTCTATAACCTGTCCTCAATTCCCTACCGAATTTGACATCCATGTACCTAAGGCACTTCTCAAAAAAAAGTTCAGGACAGAAAATAAACCCAAAACCAACGCTTTAACAAGACACTCAAACTCTGTAGTTTTATTATAAGGCAAAAATGACCTCAAAAACCTGGACTAAACAAATGCCTGGAGTGAAAAAGATGGAATAAATTGAAGGATATAATTATGGCTGGGAAAAGAGGGAAGGAGGTCGCTCAATAGGATGAAAGACGGATTTGAGAAATCAGAAATGAAAGGAGGTGTCAGCTTGAATCAACCAGGCTGAAAACTGCGCCTGATTTTGACTGACATACTGAGACTTTCCGATTGCAAAGTCTTTCTCTAATAAGCTGCAAATTCACCTCCACACTTTCACTTTGTTCTTAATGCAAATGTTTTATAATGGACAGATTTAATGATGTTCAGGTGCTTACTGGTTCTATCGGACTTGATACTGGAATCAATCTCCCCCTTCAGAAAGCTTAGGTTAATGGCAAAGTTTATTAAACTGCATGCAGTCATTCAGAAAAGATCAATAGAGACATGATTACAGAGCAACCAGAGGATTAAACATGAGATTTATCACAAAATTAAACTGAATTAAATGTTCTCTGATAGCACCTGAAATGCTGTCGATACTCTTAACTGATAATCTATGCTTTCTGTGTTTACTTAACAGGCAGCAGGGATATCTGACTCAAGAAAATTACTGTAATGTAAAAACATAAGCTCCAAAGATTTGCGGAGAGCACTAAACCTCACCTAGAACACCATTATTTCTTCCTCTTAGAAGAGTAAAAGCGTTCTGCTTCTTTGCCCATCTCCTGTTTAAGGGCGAGGAGGATACAGCCCACTCCTGTACCACGCTTCTGCAACCTCCTTCTCAGGATGATGACAGCATGTGTAGGACCCTAAAAGGTACTACACAGGGGCTCCAGCAAATATTTTATGGTTTCGTCCCATGGCAGTCTCTACCTCAGACAGAATTATTTTTTCCTCCTTTCTTCCATTGTTAATAACCTTGCTACAACTTTTTCCACACCCCAAGAAATGTGTCAGCCTTCCCGCTTCTCCTTCGCCTCTAGCTTAGCCCAGCGACCTCCCCAGGTTCAGACACGCGGTCCTCCCCTTGGTCAGGCTGGCATAGCACTGTGCAAACTTCTCTGACGTTCGCTTCCAAAAAAATGCCATTCCAAGCATGAAAAAAAACTCCCAGGAGTACCAGTAACACAGTATCACTGGCCTAAGAAACAGAAAAGGAAGCCCAGAAAAAAAAATTCAGGCCAATTTTAGAGAGAAACACCACCTAAATTCAGACAGTATTCTTCTGGGATGCGATCCATCTCTGCAACAGAGCTGGAATTTCCCAAACCCTGCTGCGTCCTGAGATCTGTTATCAGAATCACACACAGATTATTGCCATCTGCACTATAATAATGTGGTTAGCCTGGTTTTGAGGACCAAAACCTCAGCTCACAGCAGGAGAGAAGGGGGGGAAAGGAGCTCATAAGTACACAGAAGGCCAGATGCAAAGTAATAAGCAATCACAACCTCAACTTTGATAAATTTTGAACATCTCCATGTTTCTGCGGCTTTCTGAAACAGTCACAACATATGAACTCAGCTGAAGAGCTCCTATAAGAATTAACGTTTGTGTTCAACCAGCAAGCAGGCCCAG